CCTAGCTTTTTTCTTTTAGTTGCCAAATATATTTTGACAGCATAGTCTCATTTGAGTACTTTTTATGTTTAAAAGATTGTTTGTCGTTGGCATAACGTTTTTTCCATTCGCCCTCGGTTAAGCCAATATATTGTTTATCGGGGTTGTTTTGTAAGGAAACAATATATATATATATATATATATATATATATATATATATATATATATATATATATATATATATATATATATATATATATATATATATATATATATTAATAAATTGAATTACTTAGAAATAAATTGCTGATATCAAGCTAGGTAAGAACTCAGTAAGTACAAATGCATTGCATAGCAAGAAATAATATTGCTATAAAGAGTAACTACCTCAGAGAAATAAACCATATTTGTCAGTTGTCAGTGTGAAAAAGTTTTTGAATAAAACTCTTATTTGTGCTGACATTCAAAAAAACTTGTATTAGCTCCATATCCATCGTTTTTGACTAATTTAATGACAGAAAACCATGTTGTCAATCAATATTTTTTGAAACACCTAAGGAGTTATAGTGCCTCTCTAGGATTTGCTTCCTTTACAGCCAAAATATCTCCTCCCTCAAATAATCGCCCTTTCTGTTTTAGGGTCTATGGGCAAATTTTGCATCGTATTGAAAATTTAAGGTCTGAAGAAGGTTTTCTACCCACATTTTGTCAGTTAAATATATATGATCTTAATTCAGCAGTGTCATTCAAAATGAAGCAACTTAATGATTGTTGTATAAATAAGTTTATGCAAATTTTTATTTTTCATTTATTTTTAGCCTTGTTTTTTTAAAGATAGTTGTTAATCCAAACTTGCAAAAATATATCTTAAAACTTTCACAAAAGAAAAACAGCCTCACAAAGTAAGTTTCTTATTTGCTTAATCACATTTTAAAGGTTTCAAATAAATAAGTAGTACATCACAAATTAATGTGTATTAAGTGTATTCAATTAATAGTTTTATCCCATTTTTATCCCATTCTTTCTCTTATGATTGAGTTTCAAAAGTTCTTACTTAGCAGAATTTGAGAAATGTTCTGAATGTTGATCGTATTCAAAAAGCTAAAATGAAGCTTGATAATCCTCATTCCATTTACTAAAAACTATATAATAATGAAAGAATATTTCAATATATTTTTACAAGTATTTTTGTAAATTTTTTTATGCTGAATATAATATATTTTTTTAATTTTTATTAAAATTTATATTCATATTGTATCTCAAGAAAAATATGTTTTTTGTTTTTCAAGTAAATTTCTATATTTTTTATCTTTGGAATTATTGTTTTCCATTTCATATTTTCCATTTTTTACATATTTTGCTTTTATTTTTATGTTTCCATTATTTTTTTACATGTGAATAGAAACCATTTTAATTTTATCACCATTTGTACTCGAAGTTTCCATTTGCATTAAGTATTGATATTTTGGCACAAGCAACAGGTTTATAGTTTATTTGCCTGACTCGGTAGTAAAAACAGCTTAATTGAATGAATTTATTAAGATTTTTTTTTACGGAAGAGCTTTTATAAAAAATATCAAACAGAAAAAGCTAACTTATTTAAAAGAATTAGGTCTCTTTGGCCCGTTTTTCCATGTCCAAATTGGCTTTTTAAATAAATTCTAATGAGAGGGTAAAATATTATTATAGCTAAGTTGTAATAGCTAATAGCTAGTAGGAGCTATTAGCTAATTATGTAGTAACTAGTAATAGCTAATAGCTAGTAGTAGCTAGTATGTAGCTATTATAGCTATTAAAGTATTAGCTATTTGCGAACTAGTAATAGCTAATAGCTAATTATATATAAGTTTCTAAAAAGTCCTGAAGAAATGTAACGCAACTGTCTTTTATGTTAAAGATACATCTGTTACGTAAAAAATATTGAAGTAAGTAAGTACAGTTCTAAAGTATAGTAAATAAGTTGTTAACCAAAAGCCAAAACATTTTCAATCGATTAATTTTTTGCCGTTTACTATACAGCAGGATTGTAAAATCTTGTTTTTCAAAAGGAACAACCTTTCTATACTAAATAGAAAGTTCAAAAAAAAATAACAAATTTTAGAAGGGGGAAAAAATACCTAACATACTACTTATAAACATCAATTCAATTTTGAGAAAAGATATTGTTAATAGAATTCTAAATTTTTAGTTATAGGCATTTAAAACTTGTGTCGCTGAAGAAACAATAAGCTCCTTCCGTAAGTTAAATAAATTAAAGTATAGAGACCAAATTAAGAACAAGTTTAAAAACAGTCGGGTGTGGAGCGGACTTATTACGACCCGTATCGTACGAATAATGTTAGTATATAGTATATAGCTAGTATATAGTTATTAACAATAAATAATATATAAATTAATAATTAATATCTTCATTTTTTGGCAAATCAAAAAAAAAATGCTCTTGTTTGCAGCAAGCATTTTACAGTTTTAAAATTACAAAGTTGATAAAAAAAAGCCAAGATAATATTGCTAAGGTATTTTTATTTGTATGACCAAGTAAACAAACTTATTGTTCATTTTCAACTTTTTTTTCTTTTTCTTGAAATATTTTATTATTAAAACTCGGATAGTTTAAATATATTTGCAAAAATCCTCAGTATAAAGCATGCAATGTTGCATGTTTCTATCTCTTGACTTAATTCTTATCTATAAATACAAAGGTTTTATAGTTAAGATTTAGAATTAATTCAAATCTATCAAGAAAAAAATATTAACATTATCAATCTGATTTAGAAAAAAGGTTTCTACACAATATAATATTATCCATCAATATGGACCTTTCGGACTTTTTGAAGCACCTTAAAAATCATAGAAAAAAATTCCTTTCACGCAACCAACCACGTGTTTGACAATAAATCTGAACTTAGCGTGTTTTTTAATAAAAAAAATTTGATTAAGCATTTTTAAATGGCCATATCCTGCTTCTCCTCAGTAGGCACACGAGGTCAGTCTAATGTTAAATTTTGTTGTATTTTTTGTGACCTCGACCAACTAAATGCAACGTTGTCTTAAAGTTAGTTTTTATTATATCAGAAATCCATCGTCGTTACAACATCGCATTTAACTTTGGTTACACTAACATAATTTTTTTATAATATCGGGTGGACATGAAAAAATCCGGTCAACTTTAAATTGAGATTTCTCTAAAACCACAAATGCTTTTTATTATTATTTTTTAAATTAAATTTTTATTCCTCATCTTTAATTGTGTTGATAAACTTTTGTTTACAATTAATGATTTGAAAAATGTTTCGGAAACAAAGTGAGGTTCGTAAAAAAGTTGTGAATTTTTTTTGCAAAAATCCATCAACTTCATATCGCTTGATTTCTAAACGTACAAATGTCCCAAAATCTACAGTCATAGATATTATAAATAAGTTTAAGACTACTCAAACCTTCGAAAGAAAACTGGAAGTTGAAAAAAGAAAACTTTTCATAAACCCAAAAAGGTAACGTCTATTTTTCGTTCAATAGCAAAAAATCCAAACCAATCACAGCAAGATCTAGCAAGAAAATTCAAGACTTCTCATTCTTATATAAAAAAAGTACTTAAAAATGCTGGAATTAATGCATTTCATGAGAAAAATACACCAAAGAGAATCTTAAATGGTTAAATTAAAGGAATTCGACGCGCAAAGAAGTCGATTAAAATAATGGCGGATAAAAGTATGTGCATAATTCAAGACAAGGAAATATATTGCAAGACGGTTTTTTTACAAGTTCCTGGCCAACAGATTTATTTTGAGAACAAAGATAAACTTGTCGATGATCAATTTAAATATATTCGATGAGAAAAATATGTATCCAGGTTCCTTGTGTGGCAAGAGATTTGTAGATGTGGAATCCAATCTTGTTTTGTCACTAAGAAAACCTTGGCTGGCAATCTCTACATCAAAGAATACCTTTAAAAAAGAATTTTGCCATTTATGAAAAAACAAAAATACCGATGTCTCTTTTGGCCAGATCTTGCTGCCTCTTTATTATTCTAAAAACGTTCTACAGTGGTGAAAAGATAATTATGTGGAAACCGTTCCTAAAAATATTTATGTGGAAACCGCTCCAAATCGTTCTAAAGAGCGCAATATTGAAGATTTGTAAGCAATAGTTAAAATAGTTTTTTGTAAGACAGGTGGTAACAAATAATAAAAAAGACTTCCAAAAAAAGTGAATTAATGCCACCAATAAGGTGAAAAAAGAAAAAATCTGCAAAGTGATGGCATCAACCCGCTATAAATATCAATATCTTTCCAAACAGCCCATCAAGCCCCTTAAAATTAAGTTGAAACTCTAGTTTATGCAAACCCATATAATAATAATAAAAAATTGTAATAAAAAGCTTTTATGGTTTTAGAAAATCTTAATTTAAAGTTGAACAGATTTCTCCGTATCCACCCGATATTCTAACATTTTATAACATCTAATAGAAAGTTTTGGTCTTTAAAACCAAATTATGGGTATCTTTGAATTTTAATAATTTTGAGTCATAAACAAATCCTTGCCGACTAATGCCAACACTGGTAAATGTAGCTTTTTCATTTTCAGTTGCTTGTATTTATAAAATAAATTATTGAAGAAAGAACAATTGATCTATTATTTGTATATTATATATATATATATATATATATATATATATATATATATATATATATACATATATACATATATACATATATATATATATATATATATATATATTATATATATGTATATATTTATATATATATATATATATATATATATATATATATATATATATATATATATATATATATATATATATATATATATATATATATATATATATATATATAATTACAAATTAGTATAAAATCACTTAGCAAAATTTTTTCTCATTTAACGCTGTGTTTCATCAATAAAGACTCATCAGAAATGAATGATCAAATTAATAAAACTTCAATTTATACCAAAAATTAAATTACAGGAAGTCACATGTCTTAACTACTGCAATTTTTCACACATTTGCGTAATTTGCTGACATTACTGTAAAAAGAATTCTTTAGAAATGATTACTTAAGCTTTTTAAAAAAAATAATATATTTTTTTCAAAGGGGAGTTAATGTAACTATTATTTGAGCTCACTTATTTTTATAGTTTTTTAGGAGAAACTTATTTTCGTGCCTGCACTTAGAAATCAATTCCGATTTTTTGTTTAATAAACATTCTTGGTTTGTATGTGTAATTATTTCAAATTTTTCTTGTAGACATAGTATGCATTTTTGGAAATATTGTTATATGCAGGCACTTTAAGGATGGACCAATTCAGTGTAAAATCATCAATATTTTTATCTTTTAATTCCCATATATATTTTGACAGCATTGTGTCTTTTGAATACTTTTTATTTTTAAAAGATTGCTTATGATTGGCAAAACGTTTTTTCCATTTACCTTCTGTTATGCCAATATATTGTTTATCAGGTACATTCTTAGAGGAGACAACACATTTATATACCACATTTTTTGTTAAGCAACTTCCACTCATTGGACAATTGTTTTTTTGTTTACAATTACAATTTTCTGTAGTTTTTTTATTTTGGATTTCTTTTTTGTTTAACAAAGCATTGTTGTGACCTTTTATAATTCTTTCCATATTTTTTGTGCAACTGTAGCTAACTTTAATAGTATTTCGATTAAAAATTTTATGTAATTTATTAGAGGGCGGGAAATGCTTATTGATCAATTTTAAAAACACTTTTCATATGTTTGTGAAAACATTTTTGCTATATGGGGGGTTGAACCAAATTACATATCTAGTTCTATTTTGCTTTTTTGTATTCTTTTTTTCAGGGTCAAATTTTAATTCAAAGTTTTCCAAACCACTTTTTTTAGAGCCATCTTCAAATATCTGTTTGGAGGAATTAAATACATTTTCATTAGAGGAGTTTTGGTTAAGCCTGTTATTAATTGAAATCGGGATTTGTTTTAGAATTTGGGGTGGATGATTTGAGTTAATATTAATATACAATAATTCATCGTTTGGTTTTTTGAAAGGCTTATATGTATTTTCTGAGAGGTTAAATGTGACATCAAGAAAGTTCACAATTTTTAAATTTATGTTTATTTCAATTTGAAAGCCAATATTTTTAAAAATTTTTATAATATCTTTTCTCATTTTATCAAGCTGTGGACCAGATTTTTTACGCATTACTATTAAACCATCGTCGTGATAAAGGCCTAAATCATTTATATTGATTATTTTACTTAATAAATCTAAAATATATAATCCAACAAATTCACAAATTTCTGCTCCATCATAACTGCCCATTGTTACATCAAAACAGTTATGTATGTTTTTCTTTTTCCAAGTTTCCTTATTAAAATAAAGTAAGGTTTTTCTACAATGTGTTATTATGCGAATTGTTTCTTCAGAAATAACTGTGTGGCTTTTTGCAAATTCAATTGTTTTATCTAAAATATCTGCAGTTATTGAGGGGTAAAAATCATTAATATCAAATTGAATAAATGTACAGTCATTTTTATTATCGATTATGGAGAACCAATTTATAACATCAGTAGTATTTTTCCACTGTTGCAAATTCAATTTATTTCTAAGAATATTATTAATTTTGTCCAATTTAATTTTGCTTATATGTCCAATCTCACTTTTTGAGGAAACCAATAACCTACAAGGAAGTTTGTTTTGAAAATTTGGTTTGTCTTTTAGTGTTACAAAGGCTTGGGCAGGAGCAGTTGATTCGATTCTGTTATCATGGCTTATTTTTTTAGCAATTTTTTTTTTTTTTTTTTAAATAAAAAGTATTCAAAAGACACCATACTGTCAATATATATATATATATATATATATATATATATATATATATATATATATATATATATATATATATATATATATATATATATATATATATATATATATATATATATATATATATATATATATATATATATATATATATATATATATATATATATACAAACGTACCTTTTATTAAGTTGTATAGCTTGGTTAGACTAAAACAATCCTTTGTCTTTTTCAGCTGCCATATTAAATTTGATCATGAATGAATTTGTCATAAAACTAAAAATAACATAATTTAATAATATTATATTTTATAATTTATGAAATTATAATTAATTACTCTATTCTACTCTAAAATGTTTTTCTTTTTCTAATAATTTAAATCTAAATGTTTTATTAAATTTAAAGATAAAGTTTATCTATTAATTATTATTATTTAAAAAATAGCATACTAACAATTAGTGTAGTTCAGATCATTAGTGTACACTAACCATTATTGTAGTCATATATATGAATAGTCTGGGTTAAAAGAATTGTCTGGAAAGTTAAGCTAGGATAACCTTTAGCTTTAAATTTGCAAACTGGCAAAAGTGTGAATTGACATAAGTGCGCCAAACAAGTTTGCAAACATTACGAATAAGCATAAGTGCAAAATTTGAATAAGTACAAAACAGTTACAAAAATTGGCAGAAGCGCGAACTGACATAAGTGCGCGTAATAAGTTTGAAAACATTGGCATAAGTGCTAATTAGCAATTTGCCCTTAAGCCAGTTTTCCCTTATGCCGATGCTTGCAAATTTATTTGGTACTCTTATGCTATTTCGCATTTATGTTGTTTGCACTTTTGCCAGTTTTTGCAACTGCTTTACACTTATACCAGTTCCCACTTATGGCAATTCACACTTATGAGAATGTTTTAAATCTATTTAGCACACTTATGATGATTCGCACATATGCTAGTTTGCACTTATACTAGTTTCTGTAACTGTTTCAATAACTGCTTTGCACTTATGCCAATTCGCAATTATTAATAATTAAAATCAATGTTTGCAAATTTGTTCGACGCACATATGCCAATTCGCACTTATGTCAGTTTGCACTTATGCCAAATGTTTGGAAATTCTTTTTGCGCACTTATACCCATTTGCACTTATGCCATTTGGCATTGTGTCTGTTTTTGTAACTGCTTCGCACATGTGCTAGTTTGCTCTTATACGAATTCGTACCAGTGGCGTAGCTACCATATAGCAAAGTAAGGCAATGCCTCAGGGCCCAAGAGTTGAAAGGGGCCCTTTTAGCTTTGGCCACAGCACACAGCCGTTTTTATTTTTAATTTTATATAAACAATTTGAATATTTTATCTAGTTTTCATTGCGATTCTAATTTTTTATTTTATAGAAATCTTTCAGTTAATTAGTCCTTCCCTCCCCTTTTTATTTATATTTCTCCTAATATGTAAATTACCAGTGTTTTCATTGGTTGATTTTAAAGTTAACGCGTGTTTTTTCCGGACCGTTAGTAACAGTTTAGAAATGCTAACATTAACATGCACGTGTAGCGTCAAAAATATGTATTCGTAACAGTTGCTGAGGTTTTTAACATTGTTTAAATATCCATTGTATTTTTTAATAGAAAAATACAAAATAGAAAATTTCTATTCATTGTTTCTTTTCTTTTATATCTCCCTTTCTCTTAAGAAATTTACGTTTTCCGTTTATCTTCTTTAGATTATCTGAAGCATTGCAATAACCATATAGTGCTTTCTGTTTAGGGAGTTTAAAATTGTACAATTTATCCTGATCATTTCCATGTTATAAGAAAACATGGAACTATTAAAGAGTAAAAGTGGGTTTCAAAAAAGAAAACTTAAAAAACAGAAAGAAGAAGCATTAAATAAATTACCAAAGCTAGACAAGTTTATTATTAAAAATAATAATAATAACCAAGAGAGTACTCCAGATGATGCATCGATCGAATGTGAATGTTATGATGAGTTAAATATTTTAGAGAAAGGTTATACAGAAGTGATTGCTTGTAAATCAACTAAAGCAGACTGTAGCGATGGAGAAATTAAAAAAATTTCAGATGAAATAGTTGACACTGAAGATGCTCAGGAAGGTTGGGGGGTTGGTGCAGCGCGGGGCCCCCTGCGATAGCTGCAGCAGAGGGTGCGCCAATGCGGCGCCGGGATCTGGGGGGGGGTAGGGTTGATCCTCTTTTAGGAGAGAAGAAAACCGAAAGGTTTTTTTAATTCCCTTGTTTTTAATGGGTTGAATGGTTTATAAAAGGTAATTTATTAAAAGTATGATGATTAGGTGGACAATTTAATGATCATTCTAAAGTATTTGTTTTTTATACATTTAAATTATTTCAAGAAATAAATTTTTCTTCTGAATAGAAAGCAAAAATTTAATAATGAAAAAAATATCATTTATACAAATACCAGGTGACCTAGGAAAATATTTAAATCAGAACATTTCTGATGAAACCATAAGATTACTGATAAGCATTCCTGGTCACAGACCTAAAGGACCATTTCCCAAAGATCCTAGTCAACAGAACAGAAGTTTCAGTGAAACTTACTATTATTCTACATCAAACTATGGCCCAGTTCCACGATTATGGATTTGTTATTCAAGTATGTTGAACGCAGTATACTGTCAACCTTGTTGGCTTTTTTCAAGCATCAAAAGTCAATGGCAACCGGGGATAAAGGATTGGAAAAATTTATCACAAAAGATAAAAATGCACAGTTCATCCCAAATTCACATTGAAGCCTGTGCGGTGCTTGAATTATGGAAGAAAAATAAAACCATCGATAAAAAAGCTGAAGATAAAATACGATATAGGGCATCATTTTGACAGATAGTTCTAGAATGATTATTCCGCATAACACTTATGTTATCAAAAAGATTCTTTGGCATTTCGTGGTCACCTTGAAAGATTTACTGAGGATTATAATGGAAACTTTTTTCACAAGTTCAATTACTTTCTAACTACGACAGTGTCATGAAACAAATTTTAGAAATGCCATCTGGTTCAATCCGATACTTAAGTCTGACCACACAGAATGAACTAATACATTGCCTGGGAAAAAAGTTATTGAATGACTTTATCACCATTTTATGATGATAAAGTCATTCAATAACTTTTTTCCACCATTTTATGGTGATAAAGTGACGAATTCATCACCATTTTATGCCCTAATGCTAGACACAACACAAGACATTACCAAAAGAGACCAATTAAGTGTTATAATACGGCATGTTAACATTGTTAGAAATGTAAATCAAGAACCAACTCATTTTAAAATTAAGGAAACATTTTTAGGATTTTATGAATTGAAGGACCATTCAGCAGAGGGAATGACTAATCAAGTATTGGCGTTATTGAAAGAAGCACATATTCCAATTGAAAAGTGTTATGGGCAGGGTTACGATGGTGCTAACGTTATGAGTGGAGTTTACAATCAATCAATCAATCAATCAATCATATATTCTGAAAATAAATTTTCAAGGCTATTTACAAATAGTATTGAAATACTAATCTCAAGTAAATACCTGAAAAAAAAAAAATTTATATATATACAATTAATCTTAATAATAATAGCAATAATAATAATAATAATAATAATAATAACAATAGCAATAAAGTAATTATAATAATTTAAATAATCGGTATTTTCCCTCAGCAATCATTTTTACATGCAAAGTTACAGTTACAAACAGTAATAAACTGACAAAACGTAACAACTAACGATGACATAAAAACGACTACTGCTAAAAAAAATTTAAAGATTTAGTAAATATATTAATATAATCATAGTTGTAAAAATATAATAATCAAAATATATTGCAAATATTATGACCAAATAAATAAATATAATATAAACAGAAAAACACTGAGAAAATCAAAACAAAACAAGTTACAACAATCATTACGAAACAAAACAAAAAACTATGCAAAATAAACAAAACAAACAACAACAACAAAAAAACTTAAAATTAAAAAAGATAATAACAATAAACGGTAGAATTAAACATATATAATAAATGGCTAAAAATGAAAATAAAAACAAACAATATATAACTGTATACAAAATTTATATACCACTAAAAATAATTAATAACTAAAAAACAAACAAATGACTCACAAAAAACAACAAGTAAAACTATATACGCTAAACAGTGGTGTACAAACCAGGATTAAACAAATCCAACCAAATCCTGAGTATGTACACTGTAACAGTCATAATTTAAATTTGGTAATTAATGACTGCGTAAATGGTTCGCATAATATCTTATCATTTTATGCAACTTTTCAAAATATTTATTTATTTTTTGGAATTAGCATAAAAAGATAGGACCTCCTCTCTATATTTACTGGGGAGTCTGAAGTTACATTGAAAAACTCTATGGTCTGGTACTATGACTACAATCATTAACAGCTGTAAAAGTTCGACTGATGGCTTCGACTGAAATAATCCTTAAATTGACAAAAAAAGAAGAAAGAGAAGAAGCACTTCAAATAAAGAAAAAATGGGGACATTCAATTTTGTTTTTATCTGTGTTTTTTTATTTAAGGTAATGTGCGAGGATGCTACTGAAGTTTTAAAACACGTCCGTGAAAAGTTAATTAACATTAGAAATTCATATGAACAAATCAAATTAGAAGCAGAAGAACTGGCACGAAAGTGGGACATCGAAACTAATTTTCTATCAAAAAGGCAACCAGTGAAAAAGCGACATTTTGATGAATTGGCTTCAGATCATCGGTTTCAGAACAGAGAGCAATTGTTTAAAATGAATGTTTTTTATTTTGTATTGGACAAAATCAGCGTACAAATTGAACAACGTTTTTCGAGAATGCAAACCGTGAAAAACCTTTTTTGCTTCTTAGAACCTAAAAACATAATAAATTTGCCTGATACAGATATCTTAGAAATGTGTGAAAATATTTCCAAAAAATATTCGAAAGTTATCTCTCCTCTTTTTGGTAATCAATTTCTGCAAGCAGTTTCATTGTTGAAAACAGACTTAACTTCAAAAATGTCGATTAAGCAATTTTCAGATTTACTCCTTACTAAGTACAGTTGCTTAGAAAGTGAGTTTTCAGAAATATATACAGTTCTAATGTTGTTCTTTACCCTACCAGTAACTGTGGCTAGCGTTGAAAGATCTTTTAGCAAATTAAAATAATAAAGGACTATAAAAGAAATTCTATTGGTCAGAGTAGGTTAAAAGAAGTAGCGATACTAGCTATTGAACACAAAGAAGCAGCACAAATGGATCTTAAAGAATTAATATGCAGTTTTGTAAATGCAAAAGCTAGAAGGAAAAATTTTAAATAATTAAAACACGTGAGATTCATTATTTCTTCGTTTGAGAGTTGGTTATAAAATGTTTTATATTTAATATTGCATATGGTATACCTTTTCTCTCTTTATTTAATGAAGTTTACATTTTATTTAGTATTTTATAAATATATTTTTTGAAGCAAAGTTTTTGTATTATTCCTATAAAATTATTTTGGAAATATTTTAGTTGGGGGGCCCTTGCACTGGTTTTTGCCTCAGGGCCCAAATTATATTATTATATTATATTATTGTGTGTTGCATCTCCTAAATGAGATAAAAAACCCTTGGGTTTTTATCTCATTTAGGAGATGCAACACACAATATTAAAAGTCTAAACAAACTTACAAT